GATCACCACAGTAATTATTGAAAATAATTTTTTTATCTATTTTTTATCATTCTGAGTTGTTCTCCTATAATTTAACTTGAGATTTAGATCATATTTATGATCATTCGGTACTTACATGGTAAAATTTGAGTGCTGAAGCTTCAGGTACACACTTAGCTCATTCCACAAGCAAACGGCGAAAATGGCCATTTCCCGCGTTCGCGCGCTTTTACCATTTATTTTTGACAATTTACAGTGGTACCACTGCCACAATTGAGATCACTAGCGAAAGCAGGGATTTTATTCTTTGCACTGTTGGTTTTACCTTCTTGATCAATTCAACTCAAACTTCGCACTTAATAAATAAATAGCCGAGTGATCAAGAACTACCTCCTGATCAGAAACTGCCTCCGCTGCCTTAGTATTTTTCCGGGCTGCTGCGATGGGATTTTTTACTCGTGTGGCGTTGGCGTCCGAGCCGAAGGCGAGGACTGGCCAACCACACACCAAATTAGATTCATTACATTTCATTAATGTAATAAATATGCCCACCTCCATACAAATAAAATTAATTAAAGACAGTAACTATAATGAAATAATAGTCATGGTAATTTACCGACGGCCATAGCTATCTGGTTAGAGTATTGGATTGGCACGTGAGCGAACCGGGTTCGATACCTGGCTGGGGAGCCAAAATTTGTAACACTCTAATCTCACAGTTTCACTGTCGAGTGGGAGTCTCGTTAAAGGGACGACTGTACCTGGGCAGGTTTTTCCCTCAAGTGAGGTTTTCCCTCGTCCTTCGGCGAATGCGGTACAGGGGGTTGGGGGGTGGGAAGGGAACAAATCGTAAAAACCCGAAAGAGTATACGAGAGAAAATAATTTTAGTAATGGTAATTTAAAGTGGCAGAGATACTGCACTGTACTGATTATTTCAGTTTCTTCAGGCTCCTTGCATATTCGATATTCTGAACTCCATTACTTGCATTGTGGATTCGATTTTTACATCTACTATAGTTGTTGTTGTCACTGTATTGGACTGTTCTTTCCGTGCAGTAGTGGCTTGAGTAGAAATAGAACTTATGATACTATTGATGCAGTTGCTCATACACTGAGAGAAATATCGTCATAATAACACAAAACTAATTTTTTGCGCCAAATACAATTGCGCCAATCTCTTGAAGATGATTTCTTAGAATAAGAATTCCGGATAATGTGTCAGACAATGTCGGATTTCGGTGAAGTTTCCATGACTTGAACATGAACATTTCATGATAAAGTGAGAATTTCCTGCCACAAGGAATTGGTTTTTTCGTGGCAGAAAATGAGAAAATGACTAAAAATAGTAAAAGCTTCGATTCAGTGAATCATGAACCAGAGACTTTCATATTGAATGAATAGAGAGTTTATGCAGAGGAAAACCTCCAGATATTGAAAATATAACATAACCGTCGCTTACGCTCAATCACTTTAAGAAGGGAAGCAATATCTTCTTTTCCTTCTGTCAAAATATTCTTGTCTTTGAAGGAATATTATCTCATTTCGAAAAAAAGACATTATCTTTTCATTCGGTAAGTTCCTCCTTAGCCCGAAGAGCACCCATTTCTTGTCTGAAACCTACCATAAATTGATCAAACATGTATGCGATGTTTTTCGCTCCAGAAATGATTTTTGTGATATTTTATCGATTTTTATCTTAGTGTAGGAGTTTTTGGTGATAATATTACTAAGTGGTAAAAAAAATGGGAAAATTGCTGATTAGTTACCAGTGATGGAATGTACTGTTCTTGTACGGAGAAAAATTACAGGAAAATTATCAACCAACACGATAAAATGGGGTCATTTTATCGTATAACTCCGAAAATTTCACGGAATAGCGTAATCATTCCCCTTCGAATACACTTTATTTTCATGTCACGCGTATCAGAAATTTGGTTCACCAGAACCGACATTTGTTCGTTAGAATGAATCTAATTTACCATATTAGTAGAATAATTTTCCTCATTTTTCTCCATTTGTGTGTTGAAAATATTTAATGGGTGTAGTATCTAAATTATGTCCGCAGCAAATGAAGTTTCCGGCACGAAGGGAACAAATGATGTTTGGCTTTCTATTCTTCTTCCTATTCTGATTTCAAACTATACTCCTGAAAAGTCATTTAAAAGAAATTTCATTTTATATATACGTGAATGGTCAAGTGATTTTTCCGAGGATTTTCTGTCCGCGTAAAGGATCTGAAGCAATGAGCGAAGTTCGATAATTCCGATAATAAGGAGTGAGGCAGGCTGGACCCTGGGAATACAGAAAATATCGTCGATTGATTAAAAAAGTGTCAGAAATTCCATGTGAGGGCCTTCGGGCAATAAAAAAGCTTAAGCGATAAGCAACAGTTATTAGCAACGAGGTGTAAAGTAATAAAGCATAAGCCAGTTTCAACACGGGTTCATTCATACTTCACGCATAATCTAAAGTGGCCACTGTTGGTTATGTCTGCGATTTCCAGGGACATGTCACTCATTTTTGGAAATCTATTACCAAATATTGGTGATACTAGACATAACCCAGATCATTAGTGATTTTCATGACTGAAATTTAGTGATAGATTCCCAACAATTAGAGACGGATTTCTGAAGATTAGTGTCAAAGTCACTGGAAATCAGTGATAATGTCACCAATAATTAGTAAGAAAAGCACTGAATTCAATAATTTTGCACTCGTTGGTTATCATAATTGCGAATGTCTAAATTTGGAGATAGATTCCTAAATATTAGGGATGGTTTCATGGCTATTTAACACAAATAAATTCAACGCCCTACAACTCAACACACAGGAAATTCAATACATCACGAATTCAACGATACATTCACTCAAGACGAAATAAATTATTTCACTTGCTACTTTATTGAAAATTCTGTTACATATCGATTTCTCCAAAATTCTGGTACTAAAAACAGAAACACTTCTTCAAAAGACACAATCGAGTGCCACTTTTGAAATCAATTACAGTTTAACCCCCTAAGATGAATTTAAATATCCCCACTCTACGGCCGTCAAAGCGGAATGCCAGCGGCCCCACTCGAGCGCCCTACGACGTTTTTCACCTTGGAGGGTTAACATTGTGAGCAACGCCCCTCCAATAATCCAGTTTACAAACGATACAATAACTTACCATTTCTACAGGGAGAGAAATTCTCTAAAAAAATTCTAGAGCTAGCACGGCAAAAAGAGCGCAAAGCAACGACCAGGGAAAAATACTAGTGCTCGCATTGGACCTTTTATTAAGTAGCACCTGAATTTTTCCCGTTCTTACCTGAAATTTTTACAGAAATCCCCCGAAAATTTTATCAGAAATGTCTAGCAATTTTACCTTAACAGTACTACAATTTTTAATAGCTGGTGAACTGGAATTTTTTCCAGTACCAGAATTTTTCTCAAGCATTTTTCTCATGAAGAATTCTTCCAGTACCACTAGAATTTTTCTCAAGAATTTCGTTCCGTGTACCTGTCGTCCAAGATACAAATCAATAAATCCTTTCCGCAGGCTTTTGAATTTGTTTTGATATTTACTCCAATTGAAATATAAGCAGATCAATGACTCATGTGCTTTCAAATTTATGTAGAATTGGAAATATGTGTCACTGCCCGATATTCATGTGTTGAATAAACTATCTGCTGAATATACTATCGCCGCGTTATATTGAATTTGCATAGTGGCAAATAGTCCTGTCACCTTAGGCATGACTCCCAGAAAATCATTGATACACGGAGAGAAATTTTTGATAAAAATTATCCTACCGTTCTATAAAAGTGTATCATGAGTCATCGTTTCCTCATTTCTATCCCGAAATTTAGTCAAAAGTAATATATAATGATCAAATTTTATTCTACGTTAGACAAATTTTATCCTGACGCATAATGAATTTTACCCTACCAGTACAGTAATTTTTATTGTTATCAGGATAAAATTTCTCTAACGTAGAATAAAATTTGATCATTATATATTAATTTTTACTAAATTTCGGAATAGAAATGAGGAAACGATAACTCATCATAATACAGTTTTATAGAACGGTTGGTTAATGTTAATAAAAAATTTCTCTCCGAATTCATCTTTATTCGGCAAATACTCATATCCGTAAAATGAAAATAAAACTCTCCAGTTTGAATTTTTTCCGCACTCTTTGATCGGATTCAATCTATTCTGCCCCTTCCACCAAAGTTAATTCATATTCAAGGTGAACTTTTCGATACGACATCGTTGGATGTTCTCGGGTGTGCCACTATAATTTTTTTTTCTTTATGATCCACTCTGTTCATTTATTTATTGAATGAGGCGCTCGTTTCTATTATCTATGGATTTATAATCCTTTAACTTTGTTTTACTTTTACCCGGCCGGGTGGAGTTAGGCTTTGATTCAGTTATACACACTGCTTTGACTATTTAAAGATGTATTACACCCTTTTCGCCAAAATTTACGTTTTTTGAATTTTTCTGGTAGATTATTGATCGGATTGACGTGAAAAAATATACCGTTTTTGCGTTTTATCATTACTTAATGACTCATAAAATTTCATGATCGTGCAATCATTTTCCTGCGTTTTTTCTAAAACTCTTCGGAAATTCTCAAAACTCTAGAAAAAATGCAGGAAAATGATTGCACTACCATGAAACTTCATGAGTCAGTCAATAATGATAAAACGCAAAAATGGGATATTATTTCGCGTCAATCCGATCAATAATTTGCCAGAAAAATGAAAAAAACCGTGAATTTTGGCCGAAAGCGTGTAGTACATCCTTAACTGTGTCTAGTGCCAACTCTCAACAGCTTTATTTTCACACGTAACTAACGCACAGCCCTCCACCTTACTTTATCTAGTTTTTAAGAGCGATGCGAAAATTGTTACAACAGACCCATGTACTCTTCAAAAACAATAAATTGAATGGAAAATATTCAAGGTGAATGCAACGAAAATTTACACCATTTACAGCTGTTTTCATTTTCTATTTTTATATGTCTAGGTTTGCAATACATAAAGGACTGTCCAAAGGAGCCACACATACCAGTCTATATGATAGTAGGAGGCACACTGGGTAGTGTAAGGATGTTCTGGGCGTTATACTCTCAGATACGCTCTCGACGTCTTGAGAACACCATCACACCCCACGAGAACTCCAATATATCACCGATGCAATTGGTTTCCATAACTCTCACGGTCTTCCTAAGCGGCTGGTTCGCATTAGGTGAGATGAATAGAATAGTAAAAAAATGGCGGGGTGATTCTACGCCAGAGCCATTCTGCCTTGGACTTCTCGAAGCCTTGTCAGACTTCGTTCCATCAGATGAAGGTGTCGCGAACCATCCATCACGTGGAAATATAGGGGAGGCCGGGGCAAAATGAGACTCGGGGGGCAAAATGAGATTCTTCTGTTTTTTGTTTTTCAATGAGACTAATAAGTTCAGTGTTTTTTCGATGTAACGTCGTTTAACAGATCACGTAAGTAGGAAAATAAGTTTTCGAATAAAAAAAAACTTCTAAGACAATCCCTAATTATCGTAATATTCTAGGTTTTACGGGAATGAGAAAATTTGTTTCATGCAGATATTTCATCTTACAGTTATGAATTTTTGTAAGTTCATTAACAATAAATATTCATTTTTTCGTAGAAAATTCTAATAAGTTGAGGAATTCTTGTCTTAATGCTGTTTCAAAATTTGGAATTTTCGATGAAATCTGAAATTTTATCATTTTTTCCCCCTAAATCGCATTCAATATTTATATTCTGAAAATTACTACTCAGCTGTCCATGAAATTTGAAGGACAAGGGCCGATTGATCACAAATCGAATGAAATAATTAAGAGCCTCTCCCATTTTATTTATTAATTTATTAATTAATTATTATCAATAATACTAGACTAAGAATTGAGCGCTAACTTAGAATTTTTTTAGATTGTAATCTTTGAGATTTGAGTTATATTTATTATATTTTAAATCCACTAACAGTGGGGTATTTCATTCATAACTGTAGAACAATCAATCACTTGTGTAAAATGTCAAATTTTACAGGGGTCTCATTTTGCCCCGCTGTCCATTTTGCCCCGGTCTCCCCTATTTCTCATTTTGTTATATCCGCCTGCAATGATGAACTTCCCTTTCATTCGGAAAGCAGTCAGTAGGGAACTTGTATGGATCTCCGTTCTTCCTAATTTCCCAATTCAATCTCGTGATTGAGTCGCTGTGGGTTTGTCATGCGGGATTACACATTGCGGCGATAATAACTTTAACCCTCCTGAACTGGCTCAATGAGCACCGCGCCGCCCATTTTCGAATTTTTATTTTTTCAATGAAATGAGAATCAATAAAAATCTGAAAAAAATACAATGCCTACTTTTGACTATATTAAATTTATTGACAATTTTGATCGCGTTCATACTCGCATCGATTGAGTACCAATACAGTTTGAAAATTCGAATGGTTTAGAATCCTCGTGTTTAACCTCTAAAAATCCCATTTCGGCACGAAATCAAATCAACTTTTTGCATTAAATCGCCACTTTTTTCTCAGTTCTATTATCATTTTCTATTCATTAGAAGTTGCAACCTTCCTCTGAAGACAAAATTAATCTTATTTTTTTTCAAACTTTTATTTCACAAATGGTAAAATAACACGAGCGGTGCCGTGATACCCGAGCCAGTTGATTCAGCCGGCGGGCGAGTGCCTGTTCAGGTTATAAGCGGGTTCGGTGATCATTGCTGCCGCGCTACAGAGGTCAATCCCCACATTGGTCTTCTCACCGATGTAAGAAGCGACATTGATGCAAGGTTCATGAGCTTAAATGAAGAAATTTATATATCCTCCAATGGTAATGGCAGAATTATCGAAATTCGGAACACGCAAGCTCCTAAAACATAAATACAATACATTTTCAAACATTGCGAAGTTTTTTCGCGGTAAGAATAAAAATCTGGTCGAGTTTCTAACAGTTTTTTCTTTTCTTTTCTCTGCAGAAAGATCTTTTCTTTATACTATAGTAACTATCAATATTTTGCTACTTCTCTTTAAATCAGAGATTTTTATTAGTTAATGGACGATAATAGAGAATGAATGTGAAAACTCGCGAAATTGAGGAAAGCTCAGGCGTTCGACAAAACTCAGAATAATTTAGAAAATGATTAGGAGTATTTTGATTTTGTATGTTTTCTGCCACTCAATGAAAATATCTAGAGTCAAATTCAGTAATTCAAAACTGAATCTCAATTTTCATACTCTGGAAATTTTTTCCGTCATTTTATTCATAATTCTATATTTTTTTCTCTCACAGTCATTTTTTGTACTGGATATTTCAATGAAACCTATAAAACCTATTGGAAAGCCTACTATAACCCCTTCGACATAAAGAGATGCAGTGCAGATAAGGCACATATGGAGTAGGCTCGCAGTGCGATTTCCGCCGTGGCTATCCACGATATTCAATCTCGCAGATTCAGGCAGAATTTCTACTAGGGATTGGCTGAGGCGCTCATGTCTCGCAGGTTAGTCACCATCCCGAGTAGAAATTTCATCGGGAGCCCTCAACGTTCATTGGGAACCTATGAGTTTGTTGCGGGTTACTGACTCGTAGGTTGTACCTGACGTGTAACCCGTAGGTTCCAAACGCAACAATACTCATAGGGACGATTATTGTCGATTACAGATGAGTTCACCACCGATTATTAACTCACGTAGCTCAACCCGTTTGTGACTTATTTGTCCCTTATAAAGTGTTAACGGCATTCAATTATCCAAGTCCAGCCGGGCATAACTGGTCGAGAACTCATCAGTACACTGAATAAGGGTCAAAATCAACAGTCAGAAATGAAGGTCAAAAATAAGGATCAGAAATAAACGTCAGAAATAAAGGTCACGAGGGTCAGGAATAAGGATCAGGAATTAGTGTCGAAAATAAGGGTCATGAGGGTCAGACATGAGTCAAAAATACACGTCATAAATAAGAGTCACGAGGGTCAGAACGGAAAGTCAAAATTGAGGGTCTCAAGGGTCAGGAATAAGGTTCATTAATAAGGGCCAGCAATAATGGTCAGAAATAAAGGTAAAAAGTAAGGGTGAGAATTAAGGTTTAGGCATAATAATCATAAGTCAATCGTCAGAGAATAAGAATCCTCGCCTTATCTGGCATGTCGGAATGTAATATTCCCAAGAATTACAGGATAGTAGACTTGGACTTCAGCACAGCAGACGATCATCAAAGTTAAGTAAGATCGAGTACGGTTCGGAATTGGATGGGTGACCACTCACCGAAAATGTGATTTTTTTTTCTTTTTCTACGTAGGGGAGGGTGGGGCAAAACGGCCCCCTTTCAATTGTCAATAACTTGTGAATGACATTGTGAAAATTCCCAGTTTCAACTTCATTTTGAAGATAATTTTTCATTCTTCAAAACGAGCTCTAACTCATCCCAATCGGATTATTGAATCGGAAAATATTGACGATTGAAGGGGGGCCGTTTTGCCCCATCCTCCCCTAATTAAATCGATTCTTATCATTGGGCATGCTTTTTCATGGCAATTAATGAGTTATTCATCATTGACAAATTGTTAATAATAATTAGATGAATAAATAATCATGCGGGTTTTTGATGGGTTACAACCTATGTGTAACTTGTGAGGTAACTGCGTGACGTTTCCGTGAGTTCCTTGTAGATTGAAACCTATGTGGAACCGGTGACCATGTCGGTTGCAACTGATCGATAACCGATGATAAACCGACGAAATTTCTACTCGGGATGCGATTAGTCCAACGCTCGACCGTCTACGTGACATCATAAACAATTCCTGAGCATTTGAAATCTTCAACTTTTCATAATTAATTGTTCCATGAACTATATCTCGAATTGCTATAATTAAAATATTCCTTTTTCGGAGCCGAAGCTTGAGATTGAGAAAAAAATCATACAAGTTCCCTATTTGTGCGATTCGACTTCATGTGTCGTTGCGAATTGTATTTCGTTCAATTTTAATTTATACAAGAAACTTCTGACTTGACAATTTTCAAGAATGAAATATCTTGCACTAAGAAAATAAAAACCTTCGTCAAGTAATTTTATACTTGTCCTACAGACGAGGACAATTTCGTGATGACAAGAATGCGATTTCTCAAACCAAGTAAAATTTAATTAATTTATTTAACAGTTTTTCAGCCTCAATTCTAAAATATTTTAATGCAAAAACCAGTTCAATTGATTTGAGAACTCGTTCTCTTGATATGAAGAAATTGTCCTCATCTTTCGGACAAGTATAAAATTTCTTGGCGGAAGATTTTTTTTTCTTAGTGTGAGATCTTTTGCGCTTGGTAATTTTCAAGTCACGAATTTTTTGATACAAAATAAGGAAGTACTTCTAAAAAAAAACTTGTTTTCCCAGTGTACCCTGTATCATCACACACTGCCATCCTCTCTCTATTTTGCGCAGGTAATTATTGGATTCTGAGGATCAAATGGCCGGAGTATACATCGACCATGTTCGAGCCAGATCGGTGGTGTCACAAAACACTATATGTGTTTGCAATCGTTCATCTGGGAATCGTATACGCTGCTATTGGAATGTCTATCGTCACTGCTATAGGATTAGCCATTTGCAGAGTGCTTGCCTGTCCTTGGTTTGAAAGGTAACTACATTACCCATATTGCTCTGATCCAAAAGGTCTAAATGTCGATGTCCGCATAAAAAGGGCTTGCTTTGGCGATATTGGAGAACTGCACAAGAAATCTTAATGCGTGAAGGCGACACTTTGCAGAAGTGTAACTTCATTGTTCCGTTCTAAAAAAATAATTCTGCTTTCGGATTATTAAATAATAAAATAAGATTGATGAAGACAGAGAAATTATTAACTTTCATTTCATTGAATATGTTTCAATCTTTTGGAAATTATTCCATTCGCTGATTTTCCGTAAAAGATTAAATGGGTTTATGATAATGGCAATATAAAATGAATACCAACTTGGGGATTTCAAGTTCACTGGTACAACGGTTCGTTAAACCGTTCTGTCGGCTTCATTATTGCAAACCCTGTGCCATTCACGTTATATTCAGAATATGTATGCGCAAAACTTTTATCACATGTCCAAATTATGACGGCAGTAATATGTGACCATCATATTTCATCTAAATAGCAACAAAAAAATTCCCATGTTTCGCAGTTTCATAATGGTTTCTCAATTTTATGACTTTTTTGGAACATAATGGTTAGATAGAATCTGACCATTATGTTCCATCTAAATAACAGTCAAACTACTCAAATTATGACAAAAAAAAATATGATGTCACATCACGGTCATGAAGTCGTCATATGATGAAAAACAATTGAGGTTATTTCCACCTCCCTAATTCCCAACCTCTGTTTTCTTTATTTCAAAACCGGTAGGCATCCAGTCATCCTGTCAGGTTTTCCATTATATTCTCTCCCTCAACCTTTCACTAAATTTCGGGGTAGAAATACGGATAAAATCTCTCGTGATACCTTTCACCAAACCGTGCTTAGGGGGTAACGGAAGCCGTCGCAAAAGTTTGTTTTTTCAACCCATTTTTCTCCGATTGTGTCTAATATAAATGGCTGAAATTTTCACCAAGTATTGAGGGGAGTCTAAGCGTTGTCATCCATCTATTATTTTTCAGATTTTTCGCAAAAAAAAAAATGCAGAAAACTTAACGACACAGCTGATGCTAAAAAATAATAGATGGATGACAACGCTTAGACTCCCCTCAATACTTGGTGAAAATTTCAGCCATTTATATTAGACACAATCGGAGAAAAATGGGTTGAAAAGACAAACTTTTGCGACGGCTTCCGTTACCCCTTAAAATACTTATGTATGATTCCTCCGCGTTCGACCTAATATTACGCGATTCATCATATTTAACCGTCGATCACTCGCGCTCGGTCGCCAGCCTTCATCCGCCGCACGGTTAGCGCGGCGCCACAGGGTTAAAGCGAGCGCGCTGTTGCCACCTTGGCGCTTACCGCTACGAGCGCATTTCAAGTGTGGCAATGAATGTAGCAACACTGTCGCTCGAGAGGTCGGTAGGGACTCACTCGCACTGGCCGGCGCGTCACCGCTTTTCCGTCCGTTCGACGTTTCTTTTCTTTTTTTAGATAAACAAATTTCCCAGAAGAATTGAACTAGGAACTCTAATTTTTTCAGAATTTTTAAACGTCGAGAAACATGCTAAAATATAGAAAAACAAAAACGGGTAGCGCCGCGCTCATTGAGCAAGTGATCGAGGGTTAATCAATAGATTTTCATCTTTCTACTCTCCTTATTGATTCTACTGAATTTGCATTGACCGTGATTGTTTCTATCATCGTAAGAAAGACATGACGATCTCGGTAAATAGACCACGCCTTCTCCATGCGAACCACTACCCATGAAGTAGTAAGAGGTCAAGTCTTGCGAGCGAAGAAGAGCAAATTCTGTGATAAAACTTTCGACGTTGCCTTATATTTCCTCGATAACATTTTTAAAAACCGCAAAGCAGGTTGTGGAATTTTCATAACTACTTTCATGAGTTCACAAGAGGTTAAGGTACCACTGGGCAACGGTCCAAGTGTTGGATTACACAACCGTTCTTATAACCTACCCCATTTCCTTTTTACGTTTTCTTCAAGATGGATCGATTGAATCGCGTGATCCCACGTGAAACAGCATGATGTTGTGGCCAGCGTAAGCGCTACCTAGATAAAGTTTCCCATGCGATAAATCTTCCAATACCCACCCTATTGTTTCATGCTACATATACCTGAATTATCTGAGTTGCCAGCCATTAGAACTGCGTCGGAGTAATATAAACAATCCATAATAACGTGAAATTTTCCTATTTTCTGGTCAATTAGATACAAATAACCACGGCGATCTACTCGTCTGAAGGAATATCTTGGTGAACATATTACAACTGGGGGCTCTGCAAGGCGCCAAAAGCGGGTGTCTCTGGACAGCAAAATTCTCGAAGAAGTCAACGAAGATGATGAAGAGGAGGGAGAAGGCAATTCGGCAACTGAGAAATTCTGCACCAGAGTGCAATTTCGTGCACCCGATATCATCGAATTGTAACGATCGTATTCAAATATCCGTATATCATTGAACATTATTTTGAGCGTAACTTATTGGAGGAATTTGTAGTGTTCTGCGCATCCCTAAGAGTGGAATATTCTTTTGATAGGTGAGTAAGTATGATAATAGTTGATGTACGGAGATAATTTTTTTTACACTTGATACAAGAAAAAAAAATGATTACTCATAATACATAGATAAACTTTTTTGCCAGCAGTGATGGAGTCTCATTTCTGAAAATTTTGTAATAGTATAACATTTTTGAATTGTCAACGTATCATTTCTACTGAACAAATTGTTTCTGTATTCTTTCATAAAATATGGTGATTCCTCAAAATAACTCTCTGGACTGATTTTACGCTTGTATTTGAAAAGTAGATGCATTTGCGTTTAGCGATATAGATATTTCAATAAGTGATAAGTTTTTGAATTCTGGGAAAACTCTCGTTTACGAAAATTTCGATCAAAAGTGAATGGCCAAGTAGATACAGTGAACGAGAATGTTTATATGAGATCATCCTTTTCCAAATGAGAAAACTTTTCTTATTCAGAGTTATAGCTTTTTACTATCGATCTTTTTCGAGATAACTTTCTACTAATATTGATACCGGCCCATCATATTCTTGCCGATCTTCTACACTTACTTTTCCTAAACTTCCACATTGGAATTCACTGATTTTATTCCAATTCTTTGAAAATGGAGAAAAGTAGTGACGATAAGTAGGATAAACAGCGATATTATGAAGAACGGCTATGAATATGATATCACGCACATTTATATATTATTATTTATTGTATAGAGAGAGAATTATAAGTGCTGAAAAACAAAATTCTGAAAAGGTAAGAGGTCACTGATAGCATATGCATGTACCGTATTGCAGTAAAAGAGTCAATTAAAGATACTTTATCATAGAATCGTCGAATTCCCGAGTGGAAACTCAAAACAGGCTGAAATGAGGGATTGATCAGTCAGAACGGATTTTTGATCAGTTCTTGGTCAGAAATGTAATGCTTGTTTAGAACCATGACTGATTAAAATTCTAGGATTCGATCTTCCTGACCAGTGTCGGATCTGTATCTCATCTAAGCATGGGCAAACTGAACTAAATTTCCACGCGTGTTCTCGAGTGGAAACTCAAATCAAGCTGGAATAAGAGACTGGTCAGTCAAAACTGCTTTCGATCAGTTTTGGATCCATGCCTGATTGAAATTCTAGGATCGATTTTTTTTTATCAGATCCGGATCCGATATGGATCCAGTTGGGCTTCGATTGATCAGAATAAGATCGTAACTTACCCGACCACTTTGGATTCAGGTACTCTGGTTAAAATCCTACCAGATCTTGAGCCGAAAGTCTTATCAAGAAATCCTGATCAATATTGGATCTGTATCCGATCTAGGCTCGGGCAAGCTGAGCTAAATTTCCACTCGGGTTCCTGAGTGGAAACTCAAATCAGGTTGGAATAAGGGATTGATCAGTAAAACAGCTTTTGATCAGTTTTGGATTTATACCCGATCAAAATGTTTGGATCGGACGTTACCCTGTTGAGTACTCTGTTGAGAACCTTACCAAATTCGAATTCGAAACTCTAATCGAATAATCTTGGCCAGTATTGGACCTAAAACTGATTTAGACTCAGGCCAACTGAGAAACTTCCACTCGGGTTGGTTTTCCTTCACAATTCTTAAGGACTACCAAATCTGATTATCCGTGTACATAAATTAAGAGTTCTCATCTTTTAGGGACCTGACCAAATTGTCTAATCAACTTGCATGTTGAATACGCATTATACTTTCTAAAAAATACTTGTATAGCTTCGACACCATATTATCGATTCAGGCAGCTAATATCATTATTTTTTATTCTTTTTTCCCTTAGTTTCTAGTACCCCGCGTAAAGCAGTTCGAACACGGGTCCACATTTTGTCGGTAAGGGTGAATTACATAGTGGTAGGAATGAATTTGTTTTCATATTTCCGTTCCCATTCAGTTTCTCTGATTCGAGTCGATGAAAATTTTATAACAAATTAGTGAACATCAGAAGACAATGGAAATTTTCGAGTTTGCCATGTTCAAAGTTTAATATGGTGATAGAATGTTCATGAAATATGGTCGTCCGCGTGAAAAGAATTTATGATTCCGCGATATTTGTTTTTTTGGCAATGAGAACTAACGTTCATGCAGATGTGAAATTCTTGTTTTGATCTTCAATAAGATCATAATTTTCCGAGAAATTCACGAATAAACTGAAGAAAATCTAGTCGTCCGGTCCTATACAACTTCTATTACATCGGTAGCGAAGACGTAAAACGGTTTAAGTTGACTCAGGTTCTAGTTGAGTTTTCTAAGAATTTCTTAAAATCTACGATTAATATGGAAACTTTTAATTGACCGTTTCTATAGAGCAGAATTTCCTTCTTCGTAGTTTTCATTCTATGAAGAAGAAAATTCTGCTTTATAAAAAAGGTCCTTATAAAAATTCCACTACGTTCCTTGAATTCTGAAATATACAGTGGATATTCAAGTCAGTCTTGTGTCAGGAGCTGACCACTGACACATTAGGGTCTAATAAAACAATGGAACTATGGAATTAGAGTTCATATAGGTCTAAGGCGTCCAAGGGTCGGACCCTTCATATCAAAGTCAGTGAGTGTAAAGATCCGATAAGTGTAAGAGTTAGTTGAGTCTGAAGGATCACGCGAATCTAAGGGTCAGTTGAACCTAAGGGTCAAAAGAGTACGAAGGGTCAGGCGAATGTAAGGGTCTGTTCAGTAAGGGTCCGATAAGTAAAAGGCTCAGTTGAGTTTAAGGATCAGTTGTGTTCAAGTGTCAGTTGAGTTTAAGGGTCAATTGAGTTTAAGTGTCAAATGAATCTAAGGGTCAGATGAGTATAAGGATCAGATGAGTATGAGAGCCAGATGGTTTTTTTTTATCAATAAGCGTAAAACCTTCAGCATAGGGCCAGATGAATATAAGGGTCAGCCGAGTCCGAAGAATCACACGAATCTGAGAGTCAAAAGGGTATGAAGAGTCAGGCGAATATAAGGGTCAGTTGAGTATGGGGCAGATAAGTAGAAGTCTCAGTTGAGTTTAAAGGTTAGATGCCTCGCAGTGATAGTTGAGTTTAAGGGTCAGATGGGTCTAAGAATTAGTTGATTCCGAAGGATCATGCGAATTTGAGGGTCTGTTGAGTAAGGGTCCGATACGCAAAAGCTTCAGTTCGGTTTAAAGGTCGATTACGTCCAAGTGTCCGTTGAGTTTAAGGGTCAGATGGGTCTAAGGGTTATTTGAGTTCAAAGGATCAGGCGAATCTAAGAGCCAGTTGAATCTAAGGGTCAAACAACTACAAAGGGTCAGGCGGATTTAAGGGTCAGTTGAGTGTGAAGGATCACGCGAATCTACGAGTCAGTTGAGCCTAAGGGTCAAAAGAGTACGAAGGGTCAGGTGAATCTAAAGGTCAGATGAGTAAAAGACCCTTACAAAACAGACCCTTGGATTCGCCTGAACCTTCGTAGTCTTTTGACCCTTAGGCTCAACTTACCTTTAAACTCAACTGACATTCAATCTCAACTGAGGCTTTCACTTATCTGACCCTTAGATTCGCGTAATCTTTTGGACTCAACTCACCCTTATACTCATCTGACCCTTATACTCAATTGATCCTTATACTCAACTAACCCTTCTGACCCTTGGACCCAACTCACCCTTCAGACGCAGGTTTGTTTGAACTTCGAACTAATGTTATTAATGTACTAACACTAATAATTTAGTTACGTGAATCTTTAACACGGTAATGAATTTTTTAATTATCGTCAATAATGACCTTGATACAATCAAATGTGGACGTCGAAACTTACAACGTACGTTAAGAGAAAACAAACGTTATTAACGTTGAGATAAGTTGAAAGTACGGTGACAATTTGGCAGAGAATTTGACCATCAAAGCAATGTAGGTTCAAAACGGTGGAACTACGTCGGGAGACCCGGTAAAATTTTGACTCGGGGGGTTGGATAGAGTGCCGAATGGGACCTGAAAAGGGACTCGGAGGCCGTAAAATAAAAAAGGACTAATCGGGAAAAATGAAAAATTATGTTCACGTTCAAAAGACCTATTGCGGAACACTTTTGCCAAATATGAAACATCGTACGCCCAATTACAGAACATTAGAAGTTTGTGAGATGGTGAAAAACTCGAAACCCAAATAATAAGAATATTTTCGTACAAAAATGTCAACAAGTTCAGATTATCATTGAAAATTGGAATTGTGATGCAACTTTTATTATACGAAGAAACTCTTACTACTGAACAAATGTAAAAATGAGTAATGTCGATCACATGAACACATAACTCGATTTTCTTCGTACATGAATTTGTCAGAATAATTTAACAAGGGTTATAATAGTACATTAGAGTACAAGGGCACAAATTTCATTTTCAACGAATGTGTAGTTTACAGGCCGAGCCGAAGGCGAGGTGAGGGGGAATTTCCACCTGCCATGTGCATCGAAAATTCACCCCTGGACGAAAATGATTTGAAACGTTTTACTTCCTCGCTACTAATATCAATAGTGGGGGAATAGAAACCGATAATTTCCGAAGTCTAAACACGTTTTAATACGGTAATAGTGCTCTTTTAGTTCTAAATATGCGGAATATCATCAAGAGCATCGGAGTATACATATGCCCACCTCGATAAACGCCATTCTCATGCAGACGGCCATAAACGTTCCGGATTTCGAACTCAAAAGGCCACTGAAACTTCGAGCAATCTATTGCAATCAATTTGCGACTCTATTTAATGCCCACGTGGGAATTAAGGATGAAGTTTGAAGGAATGAATATAAAGTTAACATACTCTCTAGCTTATGAGAACATTAATGAGGAATTTTTCATAAAGAGGATTTATCAATCTTCGTGG